ATGATCGTTTTTCTTGATAATGTTCCTTTCTCATATCAGCAACAATTGTATTTCATCCAAATATCGTGAGCCACGCGGAATATTTTCATTCCAAAAAAAGTCAGACGAAAGAAAATTATTATTTGTAACTTGTTCACTTGCGTGAAAAAACATGATGTAACTCAAATGATATTGACCATTATTATTCTTTTCCTTTTTGCAATTATACGTGCTTTTAGAATTTTCTGCCGCGATTGGGCAACTGAACGGTGAATGCATCGGCGCAGCTCTGCAATTTCACACTGGAAAAAGTTTAATTACTCCTGGTGCTGAGGACATATCCTGGTGTAAACATACTGTCTGCGCGTTGGTGTACAAGCGAGAGACAGCTCTGCTCTCAGCTAAATTCTTTCATGAAGGGAACGCAGCAAAGCCGAGACGTAATGTCCGCATTCACTTGGCCGGATGTCGTTCCACTTGCTCTCTCTTCCTCTCTTTATCTCTCTCCCTATCTTCCCGCCTTCTTTTTTTTTTTTTTTTTTTTTTTTTTATTATTTTACTCTCTGCGAGGCGGAGTTTAAATTGGTCCGCTTTCCGCCGGCAATCAAAGTCTAATCAAACTTTAACGAGTATCACGAATGCTCCCTAGGTACCCGTCAAGCCGAGAATTCCAACTATCTCTGTCTTCTACAGGATAACAGCGGATTTACGGCTCTTTTAAAAATTTCAACGGATCGGCACCGACGATAGTCGATCTAGGAAGCCGACACATTGAGATTAAACATGATAAGTCGCTTCTTCTTGTCGGTTTCTCTTGTATATATGTATGTAATTGGAATTGTTCATGTCGATTTGCACATATTTTATCAGCTCGTTTCGATTAATAATTCCATTACTTTTCTTTTCACTCAGTTGTCTAATCAAGTATCATATATTAACCAAGCAGAAACACTATCTAGATTTTACTACCAACGGTTCGCAAGGAGCAATCTATCAATTTCTTATTAACAAACTTCGGTCGTTATGCCCGCAAGATGAAATTTTATGTATTTAATGCCATGCGTCTTAAACATCTTTTTCAGCAAGCCCTTAAGAAGCGCTTCTCTTAGGTACATATCCTCTCGCTCAATAATATTTGCATAATGGACTTTTGCAGAGAATTTATTCGCTTGCAATTTACGCAAACACGCGATGCTTTTGATGAATATACTGTCAAGACTAACTTTAAAATACGCATTTATTTATTTATACGAACAGTTAAAACCTCAATTTGAAATGTACTAATATTATCTCTTAGTATACATGATGAAGTATTTATATTCACGTCCTGCGCATTTCTTTCCTTCGAAATACTAGGAGCACTTGGCTAAGTAATATCCTTTTATAGATAATAGTATTATCCTTTTATTTTTTTTTTTTTAATGCGTAACTGTACAAATACTTTCTAAAGATATTAAAATATATGTATAAAGAATCACTTAATAAATTTGTAAATCGTTATAAACGTAATAAAAATTAATCCAAACTTGAACGATCCATATTTAAGTTTTAAAGGTTATATATGTAACCGCTCAATTTAAACATATTTGTTATAAATATATAAATAAAAGACTGAATATTATAAAACGCGAATAAATGCTGAATTAAATACAAAATAATACGAAATATTAAAACTAAGAAAAGGAATATTTTTGTTCTATCATTTTCTTTATACTTTTACTTTAATGTAATTTTATGTTCCATATTTACGTAGAAACAGAATGTCTTAAAATCTTAACTAATAATAATCTTAAATTTCGCTATTTCTCATTGCAGTCCGTAATATTCATGCGAAACAGCCGTTAACTAAGCGTAAGATATGTAAAATAGAATTTGCTGAAACAGAAGCATTAATTTACCGAGCGGGTGCGTAGTACATGCCATTTCCTTTATACGCGTAATCATGTAACAATTAACTTGAAGAACAAATTACAGAATATAATAACTTATGTACACAAAATGCATTTCAATCCAATGTCCACATAATAAGTATAAATTTAAGAGAAAAAGTATTAAAATTATTTTCACATAAATTCTAAAAAGAAAAAGAATTAAAATGCTCTTAAGATGCTAGAATGGCTAAATAGAGGCTATAATTAAGGTAAATGTTTCAGTGATCGGACATGAACCTATGTCTGGACACTTACACGACATTTATTATTATAATCAAATGCTTTTGTATTACATATTATAATTTAATTATATTTCAAGATTATAATTAAATTATAATATTATATTTAAAAAATATTTAAAATTAATAATAATATAAACAAATAAAATTTTGTGTAAATGTGTCCAGACATTATATGGATTGGTCGCTGGGACCTTATTAATTAACAAAAATTATTATGATTCATATGTAATATTATGATTCATATGTAATATATTTTTTTTTTTCGATAATTAATAAATAAATACATCGTGTGTGTGTGTGTGTGTGTGTGTGTGTGTATGTGTGTGTGTGTTCGTGTGTATGTGTGTGTGTGTGTGTGTGTGTGTAAAATAATATATAATATATTAAGATAACTACAAAAAAAAGACAACATATTATATCTCTTTTAATTGTAACTATATCTCTTTAAACAATAAACTAAGAAAATGAATAGGCTTCAAATGCTTTTAATGAACATGCCTAAAGGAATAAAATAGTGTAAACGATCTCGTTTACACTATTTTATTCCTTTAAGATCCTGAATGGGCCGTGGTCTTCTAGCACTAAATGAGCTTTAAAAGGCGCATCATCACTGTCTTTTCGTGTTTTTAACTGAACTGCAAGCTTGTCGCTTCAGAAATTACTGCTCGTTTAAACTTTAGTTACCACGAGCAACATAATGGCAAAATACAGCACTTGTATTTGCAATGCCCGTTATTGTTAAGGAGATTGCTGCAACGATAAAATAACAATATTTTTGTGTGTTTCATGTATGAATAATATCGCACACTCTCTGATCAATTGTAATTTTTCTATATTTTTTATTCTGTAGATATTGCATATCTACTCTTAAAAATTTTTGGAGTTGAATCTAATTCTAAAAAGTAATAAAGAGTTACAATCAAACCAATGTTGAAAAAGAGTGATAATCAGTTGTCAATTTTTAAGAGTGAAATTTCACTCTTTAGAATTAAATTCCGCTCTAAAGATTTTTTGAGAGTAAACAGGTCGAAACTCAATGCATTTTGTGCTAAAGGGATTTGTTTGGTAGTTCGTATAGCATGATTTTGCCTGAAAAAATCAAGCAAAATAGATATGACACATAAGGGAATTAGAGGAAACGCGGAGTCGACAGGACATGGTCTCCGATGCTCACGTACATGAACCGGTTTATATTTAGGGGTGACACGAGCTGGCTCGAGATAACTCGGAGGAAAGATGGACTTGCGCGAATGTTCTTGTAGGAAGGGGTAGTTTTACGGGTGTACGCGCGCGGTAGGGTGTGCGTTAATTGATGTAATTATATCTTCCTTGCGGCGAGATATGCTCGCTTCGTGTGCTTGTATGCAAAGAGAGATACGCATACGCGTGCAGAAAACGGTGGGTCAGCAGGATGTAGGTGTTCGTATATGGGATATATTACGTTGTTGCGACATAACATTTATGTAGAAGGGTTGAACTGCAATCGAGTCCCCTCTAATAATACCATACTTTCGTTGATTATTATTATTAAATCGGCCACTTGATATTGATGACTCTTATTTTCTTGATAATCAGTAATTACAGCAGAAAAAGAAAAGGGAGAGAAATATAAAGAGTCTATTTCTATGTTCTTTCATCAGAATAGAATATATAAATGGCTTCGTAATTTGTAAGGCAAATATATCAGTTAAGGGATATAGACCTAATTATTGGATGAAATAATTAAAGTTTTGAAATTAAGTCTTTAATAA